AAGCTTCAAATCACTCCATTTTGATTCAATTTGTCTAGCTATAAAACAACATCAAAACACGCATCAAAACGTTCAAAAGTACTCAAGATCAAACTAAAAACTAAGATTTGAGAGTGCATATTTAATGAGGTGACAACACTCATCAACTTTGAATGTTGCGATGCGCTAGTGGTTATGTGGCAATGAAGGTAGTGATGGTGGTAGGTGGTGGAGGTGGATCTCTGAGTTGCTCTGTGTATCTTTGTGATGGTAGATGTTGACGGTGGTGGTGGTATTTGAGTGGTGATTGTTTAGCCCGGTGAATAAAAATCAACAGATAACAAAATCAGTTAGAAGTAAGTCAATTATTAGCTACCACATTACTAACTAAAAAGAAGGTCTGATAGACGTGTCTGAGACGAAGAATGCTCTGCTAGAATTTTGAATAGCTTCCCTCTAAGGAGTCATTTAATGCATGTTCCCTTTACCGTTTTCAAGCCATTTTTTGCTTTCGATTTTTCAAAATAGTGAAAACGCGTTTTCTTTCCTATTTTTGAAAACGTGTTTTTGAAAGTAAATTAAAAAGTTACAAAGAAAATCTCAAAATTTTCAAAACGCTGTTTGAGAGTTTTCAATAATCGCCAACCACCATTGCACCACCGCGATCACCGCCTAAAAACCACTGATGTCGCCTGCGGCAACCCCAGTTACACCACCACCACTACAACCATTGCCAGCAAAAACAAATTGGAAGCCACTTTCCAGGCACCTAAACCGTCGGATTCCACCACCAACAACCTTGCCTCACTCCTCTCTATCATCTCCAATCATTCATCAGTCATGAAACAACAAGAATCAGCAGAAATTGGATGCCAAAAAACCATTCTGGTGCTACCTTTTTTTCCGAGAACTTCACATCCAACGACGCCCATGGTCGTGACCACCGGTCGAAAGTTCATCGCCAGGTGACTCCAACCATGTCCCCAATCTACCCCCAAACAATTCTGCAATGTTCAGATTTTATTCGAGAAAAACGACAATCGTGATCCGAGTCTTGCAAATTCCTACACCGACCGTCCCACAATCACGGACCACATGGGTTAGCCTCATTTCCACCTGGTACATCTTGCCCAACCATGGGTCAAGGCCAATTTTACCAAAGGCTGAGAAGATGAAGGTGGTGGCAGTGGGCTTCATTGTGGGGGAGAGAGAGAGAGAGAGAGAGGGGAGAGAGAGGTTTTCCATTTTATTTTTTTTTTGAAAATAATTTTCAAAATGCCAAAAAGAACACATTTTCAACAATCTCAAAATAGACACTCAAAACACAAAACTGAAATACAAAGAAAATAACTCATTATTTTCTTTTTACCTAATGAACGGCAAAGTGGTGAGTTTATGAAGGGAAAATCCTAGCTCTGTGAGATGAATTTGTTGATCATCATATAGAAGTCAACATTTACGAGTATAAATGAATAAATTCTGATTCATTTTAAAGTACTTCGTTTCTTAGACGAGGGTGGAAGGTCTTTCAACAAATAAGACTCCACATTTGTCTGTGATTGTGGAGGTAAATTTCATTTTCTACTGTCCCCGTCATTTGTCGAACATCCTGTTAAGCAGATTTTTCAAGTTTCTCCGAATTTATCATGGTTGAAACTCAGAAAGCAGCTGGAGATGATGACGAACATCTCAAGCTTAGTATTTGATGTTACCTTCCTTCATATGTACTGGTGGGTGAAACTTTCAGCATATTTTCCCAAAAAATATCTGGCTTTCGTGTCACTATCTAGATTTTCGAAGATGTTAATTTTTTCCACATCAATCACTCCGAATTTCTATAACAAACTTGATGATGATATTATCTGAAATGAGCAACTCAAGGATTACCAAAAGTGAGAAGAAAGCGACGATGTCATAGAATACAATGCTAGTGAGGTCAGAATATGTTGAGGTGATGGATCGGTTCCTAACCTCACTATACTAATCCATTCCCTTGCTGACCTAATTAAGCTTGTGTTTGTGCTCCATTTTTTCTAAATTTTTTTTTTCTATGACTTATTTTCAACAATACATTCTCCAAATAAAATAATTTTATACGCAAGTCCAAAACTTTTCTCTAATTTTTAATTACACAATCTCCAATAAATAACTATTATAAAATCCATCAATCCTAAAAAATGGAGGTCAAACAAAGGCTAAATAATAGAGCAATTAAGCTGAGCAAACATAATCTGCCCTGATTTTTCTATTTAGCCCTGTTTGAGCCTCATTTTTTTGTGGGGGAAATGTGTTTTGAAATAGTGATTTTTTTAGATGGTGTATTGTTAAAAAATAGGAAATTTTTTTGGATATACACGTTCCGGTGACCCATTCAAAGAAACGTGGTTGTGGGATGTCCTTTTTCCTCGTTAAAATTTATGTAAATTATCGCAAGGAATCTACTCCATTTACAATTACACAACAACCTTTGCTGTGAAAATGGAAGTCACAAGTTCTACCTGACATCAATCCTAACTTTTATTTGAAATCCTTCCACAATCTGCATAATCGCTAAATGAGTCAATCGAATTATCGTATCAAAGATCAATTCCATCCATTTCGAAGAAAAATCATTTGGAGAAAGTATTAGGAATTTCCTCATTGCCATTATCACTAGGGACATCATGCCCGCAAGGAATATTTCCACGATGATCAAACGTATCTGTTGAACCAATCATACTGCAAGATTGAAAGTCGAAAACTGAGTATAGGAAAGAAACAATGTGAGCGAGAGACTTATTTTTGAAAGAGTAATGTCATTTATACATCATTGTGTATATAATGGTGTACGGATAGATCACATGGAAGAGAGAGAGGTTATAATGACTGAATCTCTTTTCTTTCCTGTCATCTAAATGTACACCATTATGTAAATCTCCTTCTAAAAACTCATACCTTCTGTCAACAGTAACCACAGATCGAAGTTCACAATTATTAAACCTGCAAATAAAAAATTGCCATTTGTCATTTCACACACTTGATTACTACCTATAAACATTGTCTTACTGCCCGAAACCTAACATAATCCATTTTATTGCTTATTGATTGGTAGATCGCTTAATTGTTATTCAAAATAACATCTTATAATGCTAGTGACATTATACAGAAAGTTACTGCTCAGAAAGAAAATAGCACTACTTACGGTCTGCATATTTCACTCTTCACAGTTGGATGACAATCATTTCCAAATGCACCGAGAGTATGGATTAGAAATCCACTATGAGTAACGACTGCTATTTCTTTCTCCTTCCGTGTCCACAGCCTGCACCAAATTGAGAAATTAAGATTCAAACTTCTATCTTTTTATCTACTCATTGCATGTTTGGTATGCAGTAGCAAACAAGATATACAAGATTTTGACTTTTTTTTCTCCGTTAATATTGCTCAGTACCATACAATCCACATTAGCAAACAAGGCATCAGTTTTCTACATAAACATTCAATTTTTCCAAGGGGTTGTTTGTTTGTTTCCTTTAAGACATCATCATACCAACAATAGACAAGAGGTTACCAGTTCAAAAACTTCACACCCCTGGCAGCAACTTCTTCGTTCGCCTCTCTGACATCTGACTTCCACAGAATGTCATCATCATTTTCTATCTGTACAAAATCATTAAGTCGAAAGAATGGGTTTACACTATGATCTATGGTTATTCAGGCTCAAGAAACAACAATATGAACAATAAGCTATTCGAAAAATCAAATTGATGGTGGAAAACATCTACTTGCCAATGAAAAATCGATTGCAGGGAAAAGTTTCCTGTAATCAGCTATGCTTCTTCTCTTATCACACCAATGAATTCCCTGCATTTTAATTTTTATTTTGTTTAACGCAAAGTCAATAACTTTATTAACTGGAATCAATGTGAATAGAAGACAAAAAAGTAGCGACATATGCAGCTCCATCAGTAAAAAGTACATATCTTATTTCTAATACGTATATCTTCGTTCTAATAAGGCTTGAGAACGTGCACAGCATCGAGTGCACCAAAATCGCTGGTTAAGAGAAATTTCTGATTTTTGAACTACACGACAGACAAACGATACATCGTGCACGGTGTGTATGCTGAGCAAGTTCTATCTTGGCATGCCCTTGTATGATATAACAGGATAACCAATCAGGATTATCTCATGCATAATCTCTACATACAAGTAGAAGTGAGAAATAGCCAGCTGTTATAGCAAAAGAAAATTTTAGCATACATGTTTCTTGATATGTTTGTTAATACAAATTTTAGCAATGTATAAGTGACTTTTTGTCATGGTCCACAGTAAAAAGGGGCATCTTTTGGCTTCTTTCTAGAGACAAGGATTATCTTAAGCATAATTTAATTTCTATTGTAATCTTTCTGCTGATAAATGGACATTTTCTCTAATATTGTATCCAATAATTTTCTATTTTGAACACAAGTCCGATTCCCATCCAAAAATCTAAAACATATTAGGATTGCACCCCCAATTCTAACGCAAGTTCCTTATCACATCATTGGATAACAAAGCATCCCAAATACACAAATCTTGAAACAACATTAGTATAGCCTAGACCATGAAAATCTATAGTAAAAACAAGAAATTAGGTTTAAAATCAAAGAGAAACAATTTGGGGACTGAGGAGTAGGAGATTGATTCAGGATGTGGAGACTACAAGATAGAAAGAATTTTAAGCAATCATGTCAATAGTATCATTAAATTATAAAGAAGATTTATACTTTATTAGATGACACATACGAAATGTTCTCGACAAAGTTCCACTGCTACAAACGGAGGGGAGTTTAAACTTGAAATTGCTGGACGGCTACTCGTCCCTGCATTTTCCACCATTAATGGAGCTACATCAATTCCATCCATATAACCTTCTCCCCCAAATACTCCAACAGCTGTCTGCATTGTCCTGCAAAGAACTCGAAACATTTCAATTTGCCAATATATTAGCAATAAACATGAATTCTTTAACCAATCGGACCTTCAAAAGTAATTACCTAAATTCCCACACTCACTTGATGAAAACATAATAAGTTCAAATCTCCCAGAAACTATCAGTATTCCTCACTCATTCTTTCTCTCTGTCGGTGACACTTTGAAAATTACAACTTTTCAACTGCCATTGCCAAGAATAACTAGAGATTCGTTATCTCAGCCCTATTCTCCAATTGGTGTAAGTGCAGGTGTGTAGTTGTTGCAAATCCATTCCAAAGTCAAGTGAAAAAATATATACTTAAATGAGGACGAACGAACCGGCATTCTGAATGGCACCAAATTTTGTATTTTATGTTTCAAGATTTACCATTCAAGTTTCTATTTTGTAATTTCCATTTTTCATCTGAGTAATTAAAATACAAATAAATAAATCTATTAAAATACAAAACCATATTTTTCCCTGTATATGTATCATGCTAGTTATTTTTACAAGAAGAACTATGAAATAAGTTTGAATTGAAAATATTGTAAGAGCCTCAAGAAGGATTAGCAACACACAATGCATACCTTAACAAAGGGGAAACAACAACTAATTCAATCCTCTTTGAAAGACCAGATGAATGAACATGCTTTCGGAGATTGTCCACCTGTCGCAATACAGAAGAGTCATTCCTTTTCCCAGGTCAGTTTAAGCATAAAATGCTTCTCAGCAGCAAAATTTAACTCATCCCGAAAATTTATATTTGAAATATTTAACCACAACAATCTCTCATTAATAGGGTATGAACAAGTATGGCTACCATCCATTAAAAGAAGCAATATCCATATTCGACCCCAAAATACAGAAAACATAAAGTAACTATCACCTGTTGCCACCCAAGAGGAGTAAGGCACGCATCAAAAAGATCAGGAGACAAGTACGCACTATGGTCTAATTCTCCAGCAACGTTGTGGATTCCCTGAGCATGTCTTACCTACATGTATGCATAAATATAAGGCATATTAAAGAACATCGATATCATATGCACTATGCTTCTAAATACACAGTATATCACAATTTCGACAACAAAAAAAAAAAAAAAAGTGGTGGGAAGGACAAACCAAGTGAATAGTTTTACAGTGGCGTAATGGGTACAAGCCTTGACTTGACGGAGTATCCATATCTGCAAATGAATCATAGAAATAACATAGATCTGTAAAGAAGATGACAAAAAACGAACTCTTCAAAAATTCCACACGAAAGAAAAAAAAAATGTTATCAAACTTTTTGGTGGAGCTGGTCTTTTTTGTGCCTGCAAAAGAGTGCACTAGACAGAACTCTACTTTAAAGTGTTACATTAGTAAGGTGTTACATTAGTAAGCCCACCAAAATAAAAGTAATCTCTGGAAGACAACCTTATTAGAGTCGTGAAATTTGCTACAGCAACTGAACCAGAAATTCTATGCAACAGGAGGGAAGAGAAATCCTTGAGCATCTAGAAGTTCACAGGACAAAGAGAAGAATATATTCTTTGTAGAACAGACTCTATTATGATGGAGCATAACACCTCTGTAAGTACCTTTTCGAGTAAGTATCAAAATCTTGGATCAATTTTGTTTATTTCTCAAAATAAATAAGTTCATTCTCACAAAAAAAATATTATTGAGATGTGATCATTTTGTACATAAACGGAAACAAATAGAAATTAGCTATCATTGTATTAGTGCAAAGCCTCATCTAATGAAGAGACAAGAAATACGAATAGTTTCAATATGTAATAATAGTTACTAAAATGTTATAAAGGCAAAAGAGTTAACGATGAAATATATATTCAGTGCATGTTTAGGACAGCTTATAATTGCTTATAAGCAGGTCAAACTATTTTTTATCCCACATTTCGTAAACAATTTTTACCTATTTTTTCACCACACATTATTAGCAACCCACCACTTATAATCACTTAAAAGCTCTTTCGAAAAGAAATGAGGCATCGCATGAGTAATAAATCATTGCTCTTCAATAATCACGTGCCAAGAGTACAAAAAGCGAACCGCTTATGAAAAGAAAACTATTCAGGGACAACATATGTTAAAGAGAAGAAGGATAATATTCGGCATGCTAGAATTTATCGAAGAAATGGGCAAATGAAATACATCTGCAACATCAATCAAAATATTTTTGAACTTAGCAATAGAGGAAATGGCATTAAGGTTGTCTCTTGCACTAAATTCTGGGTCCACCAGTAGAGCATATTTTGGTTTTATACCCTCTCAATTCAATTCTCAATGAATATTCAATTATTCCCTACTACTTGATGCATAAAATTAACAGAAAGAAAACTTTATCCAACCACAAAAGTAGTAAGATAATTACAGAAAATATTTTTAAAACATTTGTTCCACTATTAGTAGATCTCATATCCTCTCAAGTTATATCTCTTCTTCCTCATCTTATCTCGTTCACCAATGATATAACAAGCTATTCTTGGAATGAAATAAAAAGCCAAAAAATCTAGTGGTGAAATATCATGGAAATGAAAACAAGACGGAAACAAAACAAAGAGCAAATCAAAAAGAAGAAAAAAGGAAATTATCTCCCCATATCCAAAAAAAAAAAAATTCACAGACCAATAAAACACAGTACTACCAAGTACCACGCATCAAGATTCAGCAAAAACAAATCACATGTGCATATACACACATGATTACACGATCACCCAATAATAGTTTTGAATATATCATAAAGATAAAAGAGGAAATATATATATTTAGGAATGAAGTGATAATCTTCCACTAGTCCACACCATCATTTTGCTTAGTACTAAGAAGTGGCTCTTGAGCAATCAATTGCCAATGGATTAAATAGAAAACTAGAGATACAAATAAAACTATGCAAGGAAAACGCATGTAAAAGAGAAGATGGATAATATTGAGCAACATAAGTTCTATACAAGATAAACGCAATTCATTTCCAGCAAATCAAAGAAACAAGTCTATGACTTGCTACAGATCTGCCAACTTCCCCATTCTAAATTCAAATGCATTTCAAATCAGGACGTTAAATGGTCGAGGTGTTGTTATACATATAAGTTTAAAGAAAATAAATGCTCGAATAACTGCAGGCAAAAAAGATCTTTTGGCAACACGGGTTGTCACTTGTACTAAATGCTGAATCAACCAACAGAGCATATTCTGGGTTTAAACCCTCTTTGCATAAATTAAATATTCACTCCACATTCCAAAGTAGTATAATAATAATTCTAAAATTTCAAAATCAAAAAATTCAGTTCTCTGTAGGATTCTCACTATTTAAACTTCTGCGTATCAAACAAGAAATACGAGTGTAACCGAGTATCATAATTCAGTGAAAATAAAAGGTTAATCCCAAAATAAAAAATATACAGAAAAAGCAAATCCAGATCGAAAAAAAAAAAAAAGTGACTACATGATACATTACCGCCAAATAAAAACAAGCCCATGGCAGACCAATCAAAATCTGGCACAGAAAGATTCAGCAAAACAAATCACAATACTCATTTTTACCCCCAAACAGAGACATACACATCTACACCTAACAGTATCCCACATCAAAGGCCAGCCAATTTGAATCCACCCTTTATGAGCGGGCTAGTTCTGATTGTTACACTAAACATATAATATAAGAAAATAAAATACAAACAGAGAAAGATGAACATACATACCGGGGAGAGAAAAGGAGCACCGAATCGACGAAGAAATGGGAGATGAAAATGGTACAATTCCAGAAGAAGATGGCTGGTGCCTCTTACTGTGTGTAGGAAAATGGTTGTTCTTGGAACTGCAAAAAGGAATTGTAATGAAGTAATTGTTGTTTGGTAATCCTAAGAATAAATTATTGGTCATAATGGCGTTGGTTAGTTTTATTTCTCTGTATGTCCGCCGCTTGGAATGCGTACAGTTGTTGTCCACGTAAATATTGTAACTGAAGAAACGTGCAGTTTCTTCTTTTCTATTTTACAACATGAAAAGGCTCTATTTTAATTTTTTGACTCATTAATGGAATTGAATAAAGGTCGGCCTATTAGAACTTCGGAAAATTATAAGAACTCAGGTGTTTAAAGATAACTTCTTAAAAATTAGGTCCAAATTTTATTTATTCAAATATCAGTTAATATAAACCATAACCCTAATTTACTAATTTATCACTCCGCAGTCTGCTCTCTCTCTCTCTCTCTCTCTCTCTCTCTCTCTCTC